ATATTTTAGCAAATAACAGCAATGGACATCTATAGGGACTGACAAATAATGGATGAACTATTAACCATGACAAAAAGTCATTTTGCCAAGTTCTCACATTCCTTGCTAATAAGCTGCACACACTGACTACACTTCTAAAATATCCATAAATGAAAATACTGTATTTAATAGTACTACACTGATAAAATTATTTTCAACATTAATTTTTTTTTCCATGTTCTAGCACGAAGGAGGATTTTAGTTAAAATACAAAACACTGTATGTAAAGCTCCAGGAAGAAACCTTTGAAAAGCAAGGAAATAAATGCTCTAATGGTCTCTCCTGTGCATTAGATCCACATCATGCAGACGGGGATCAACTACCCTTTCCATCTCCAAATGAAGTAAAAATCAAATTTGTCTTGGCCAGTGAGGAAAAATGATTAATACCACAGAACGTGTGTCAGAATATTTTGTGTTCTACAGATCAAAGGAGTACATACAGTATGCAAACCTGTTCTACTAGTAAAAAAGAATGCTTGCGCTGGCACAGAGCCACTTCCTATTTTCTTGTATTGCCAACAGACTATTATTCCTCATGTCAACTGAGATCCATACAAAATCATTCTGCCTTCTTACTCAACGTATTTCTTACTGTTTGCAACAGGCACAATGTATGCTAATAATTCTGATTTGGTGTGAATGTATAAATCATCAACAAAAAGTTGGCATTGCCCATTATAGTTAAGACATTCCTACTTTCTATTACCAAGTCTGTGAAACGTGTTAATGCTTACAAATTCTTTTCACAAAATAAAACCACAATTATATGTATTTTTAAATATTCCTGATGGACTAGGACACCATTTGAAATTATATCTGAAATACAGTAATTCCTCACTGGGGTAAATTATTTGAAATCTCATTTATTTAAGAACAAGAAAAATAGGTACGATAATTAGTTAGGATAATATCTGTAAGGTATTTAAAAAGACTTTGGTTTTCAAATAGATAGTAACATATTTACTATGAATTATTATATTATGTATTTTGAGTTTTGAAAACAACAATCAAAACAAGCCACAAAAGCTGAACTAAACTTGGAAATTTCACAGCTTCACAAAGATGTATGCATTTAACTCCATAAAAGAGTGATAAGGACACGCTGTTCAACTACATTCTGTCTACCTGAAAATTCAAACCCGTATTTTTAACTGATAGCTTTCTACATCTAAAAGGGAAATTACAACTACCTGCAGGAGTGACATCCTACATCAAAATGGGACTGAGATATCTACTGCATTCTATCATGTCAGCGATGCATGGAGCAACAGTGCTTGAAAGGACAATGATACAATAAATCACAAAAAGTTTTTTGTTCTGCTGTTAGTCTACAGGCTTTAAAGCGTGAAAAGTTTTAACTTCTTGGACCATAAACACTTGCAAAAGGCATTATGGTCTATTGTATCTGCTTTCACATAACTCAAGCTTAACCAGTATAAAGGTTCTTTAGATTCAACTGCTTTCTAAACATATTTTGACCACTTAAAAAGTTATTTATCAAGAGCCAACTGTACAGACATGAAGACCAAGCTGATACTTGAGTTGCAGAACAAGTCATTCCAATGATTTTTTTAAAGTGGGTGCCATAAAACCACCTTAGTCCCAGAAAGGTGAGGAAATATCCCAAAGATTTGCTCATAGCATGGCATCCTACTGACTGGTGTTTTTCCCCTGAATAAAAGACGATAAAATGGCTCTTTTTCAGATCTTTCAAAAACAGTTTTATGCTTCAAAATCATATTGGCTGATTCATAAACTTCAAAATCTGCACAACATTCTTTGAATGGACATTTTGGAAAGAACCTATGACACAACCATTCTGCAACAAAGACCTTTGCAAGACAGATGATGCATTTCTTTCTGTTTGAAAGGGGTGAGAAGAGAAGGAAACAAGGCCGTGTTTTCCACGAGAAGTTCTACCACACTTACTTATCACGTGTAACCTACTCCAAACAGAAAACTACCTAGTATTGAGATTTCTTTAAACAAACAAACAAACAAAAAAATTAACAATAGGTTTGAGGAAAAACCATAGAGGTTGCTGAAACATTTTACAGATAACTCATGCATAAAGTGAGAATGCCAGCTGCTAACATGTGCAAGCAAATGAATCGCATTCAGTCTCAGATGAATGAAGAGTCCAGAGTCAAAAGTACTTTTTCCACTTACATCATAGTACCCAAGTGCCTCCCAGATAATCATGGATTCATTCCTACGCTTCCAACAACTAGTGGCATAAAGATCTGATATAGAGGAATGTAAAGTAACTTGTATATGCCTGCCTTTTGGAGTCTCTGGTATAACAGATTTCCAAGCCTCAAATCTTAATCTTAAGAATATTAAAGACATTTTATACAAAATCATATACAAAATCATCAGAAAAACTGCTTTAAAGTGATTAAATTATACCATCAAAAGGTGAATCTCAGAAAAAAAAACCCATGGAATTTTTTGCTAGCAATATATCTCAATCAAGTTGATAGCCACTCTGGCTACTGAAATAATCTAAAGTATATTTTCAATCACTACAGTCGTTGAGAAATTAATTTTTCCCAACTCAAAATACCACTGCATTAACTATAGCCATTTTGAGATATTCAAGTCAGCAAAAACATTGTACTTACAGGCGGTTTTAATGGCTTGAATAAACACTGGCTGTGAAAAGAAACAATATCAGCTCTCCTTTGAATGCTGTTCCAACATATGCTCCTGCAAATGTTTGGAAGGTGGATTTTCAAGATACTTTGCTGAATATTCCTAAGATGACTGCCCTTCCACGATGTGAGAAAGAAGTTTTTTTCTTATCCCTAAAATGACTGTCTTCAATAAGTGGTGATTCACTGAACTAGCCCTGAAGCTGTCTTTGGAAGCTCAGTATTCAAAAACCATCTGTGCCAGCAAGTACCAGGAGAGGGCTTTCACTTGATGTTTAAACAAATTATACCCTCAGATATTTCAAACATATACTTTCTATTTATGTATTTTGGGATACTAGCCATAGGTCTTGATGAAAAGCCACGTTATTTAATTATTATTTTTCTTAAGTATAACACATACCTGCACTTAACCTCTACAGTTTCATTCCATAGACAAAAATGAAAGATTTTGAAACATGCAAATTTTGCATTAATGCTATCTTAGCAACACTCAAATACTTGATTTCTAAAACTGCTACGTGTAGGTCTTGTGATGGTTAATCATTTTCTTAAAGCTTTAACTCTCACAGTTATATGAGACTATCTATCTATCTAAATGAAAGTAAATTTTAATGCTAACAATTAAAAGCCTTATATTTCAAGAAAAAAGCTTGCAAAAATTTAAACTGAATGGATTAAAAATTTATAAGGTAAGCAAAAACAACTTAAAATTTATTAACATTTATCTAGCAAGTGCTTCTAGCAAGGATACTAACTAAAGAACATAAGTAGTTGCTGCTCTCCCTCTACTGCATGTTCCATTCAGTGCCCTACCTTTGCCACTGCTCTGTATGAACACAAGCACTAAAAAGATCCAGACAGCAAAGAAGTGTTGGGCAGTACTACTTCAGAAATGTTTGATATCTTACACGGCAATCACATATTAAATTGCAAAAAGCAGCAACATTTAGAGGTATTTTCCAGCTATTTTGCTAGTCACCATCAAATAAAATTATAAAATCCTGTACATGTAATATTTTATACTCTGCAAGACAGAAAAGCTGAATTCTTCTAAATGGTGTCTCATTTCTCTTTATCCTTTCTCTTAAATTTTTGATGTAAACTGTACTGTATATGTAATAATAAATAGACTGATTAGTGATGGAACTGCTGCCTGCTACATAGGAAAAATATGAGAATATAAGAAAGGTAGTAGACACAGCAAATGAAGGTGATAGCAAACTTCACAAACTAAGCAGAAAATATTCACTTTTTGTTGTTGTTAGGTTAGTTTTCTGCCAATTTATCAAATGGAAATGGGTTAGCACAGTGCACAAGAGCCAAAGCCCATGAAATAGGTAGGAATGCACTAGGACTGGGAGAGAGATCACAGATCAGCTTAGGCTACCCTGTAGTCACATTCTGAAACTAGTTACATGTTTGGTGGAAGCATTATTTGAGGAGCACCTTTCACTCCTGTTCATCCATTTTTCTTGAAAATCTTTTTCCTTGTTTTTCAGAGAGCAATTCTTTATGTGGATGTGTCAAAGTACATATGCTAATCAGTTACTGAAAACAAAACATTTGCATTTTCCTCAGAACAGATGTGTAATAGAATTACTTTGACTCCCATGGTGTAGGCATATTTAGCGGAAACAAAAGTTGAACAACAACTAAACTATAGAATACTGTACTCAGTAAGAGTTATCCAAGGTAGTGTAACCACATCACCACAGTTCTCCATGTTGGCTAATATATTTCACTCGAGGATTTTGCATTGCTTCATGTGCTAAAAAGCATGATCCTATTTCTAGAGCACAGTATTCCTGTTGAAATTACAACACAATTTAGTGTGACTACAAACTCATCTTTGCAATTGCAGGGCCATTCCGTAAAATGTTTGGACACATTTGTCACAAAAACTAGTATTACTACAAGCTCACAATTTGGACTGTGAGCAAGACTACTGTTTTGTTTTTCCAGATTTTTCTTCATGCCTTACCCATTCTTCTATTTTCATTCGCATAATACAGAGGAGAAAGCTAGCATAAACACACACAGAACATCTGTAAGGAGAGATCTACGTACTTCAGGTTTAGCTTTCCTTTTAGAATATTATTTAATATCTGTTGAAAGACAATACTCAAAAATACAACTAAGTGATGATATCATTTTAACTGTGACTCACAGTCCTTCTAATTCAGTAGTTTGTATCTCCTTTTCCAAGTCACAGTTCACTGAAAACATCAGCATGCTGTATCTCTAGTTACTCCTACTAGCTTTTGAAAGAATCAGGTCTCTTACTATGTGTATAAACAAATACCTCTCCTCCTATGGTAAGCAGTCCAGGTGAATCAAGTTTCCGTTTCTTCCGGGGACCAATAGCTGCCAATGCAGTTAGATTGGCATCTCTCTGCCTCATTTGTGCAAGTTCTTGTTGCTGCATCTATTAGAAAGAAAAGATTAGATTTTATTCTGCTGTCATAACAAAATGAGCACTCTCCAGACTTGTGAGCAAAAGGTGAAAATCATACATGAACAATTACTAACAGTTTTAAGCTATTCCCAGAAAAACCATTTTAGCAGCTCAAGAATGCAGCATTGTAGCAGTAATAATGAAACAGAGAAATTCTCTTGACTTTCTGCAGAATTTCTGCTTCACATACTTCAACTGTTTTTGAAAACCCACTCTCGGCCTTGAAAACTGTCCCACCTAGTAAGTCCTATATATCAGGTTTACAACTCCAGTTTAATATCAATATGGCAAATGTAAATATTGATTAAAATTCTCAAAAAATACATTTTCTTCCATCTGAGATTTACTTTGAATATTATGACTAGGCTTGATACTCGTGTTCAAAAAAAAGCTAAATAGATTACCTCTATATGAACATTAGAAGAAAGTATTACTGAAATAAAAACCACACAAACTGAATCTGCAACTGCTTTATGGGACTGGGATTTAGGTAACAACATATTTAGCTACTTTGAGACTAAGACAACAGCCTGCCAGTTTCATTATGTAACAGCATTGTATGCTACAGAAAGAGAAAATACCTCAGCTACCACATGATGAAGAGGTAAGACTACATACTCATTTTAACTGTATGGTTCCTTTAGAGAATTAATGATAAGGGACACAGTTCCATGAACAACATTACTTTATTAAGGATTCTGATAAACCATCTTGCACAAAAATATCTAATGAGGTAAGCAGTATGTGATTTTAATTAGATAAAAGCAGTCATAATTCTTAGTAATAATGCAACTCCTTGAACAAATTCAGAGGAAGTATTTGATTGCAGATCCCACTGATGTCATTCCTCCCTCAAACAAAATGCATAGAAGGCTACCTCAAGAAATCCAGTAGTGGTAATGAAGACATTGTACAATACAGGCACATTTCTTCATTAAAATCAAACTGAACGGGTAGGTCTAGATAGAAGTGTCTGACTTTAGGTAAATGTGAGCTGCATATACAAGTGAGACTTAAATTTCCTGGCTGATGTTAAAAGGAAGGGAGGTTTAAATAGAAAAAGAACAGCGTATGGTATTTTTTCTCCATTCACTACTGCCTAGAAAAAGCAGGTCAGCTTCATAAATCTCTCTTACTGCATTTTTCAGCTTTATTCATTTACCAAAGCAACATTCTGATGTTCTTCAGAAAAAGCAAGTTTAGTACATTCGGAGGTTGGAAACCCATTTTCATATCTTCAATTACTATCAGAACTTCAATACAAAATTATATACAAATAAACACCTCATTAATCTACCGGATAAGAGAATTCTTTAAATACAAAAAAGAAACATGGAAAAATATCTAAATAATACTGCAAAGGTCTATGCATACTTTCCTTTGCCAACTCATATTAGGTTTTTAGCTCAAATATCTTTGGCTCTCTTCCAGATTAAATGCCAGTTAGACAGACCTGCCCGCTTACCCTTTCAAGGTAGATAGCAACAGTGGTGAGCTCTAATCATTTACAAAGGTCATGATCGGGAGCTAGCCCGTAAGCAGTCATTTAAAATTCGATTGATCCCTATTTGTAGTCAGGGAAAGAAAATGGACATTTCAGCTGTATTGTAATTATGAGGCTTCAAGGCAACTGTAAATAGATGTGCAAATCCAGATACTGGCAAATACCTTAGAGAAGAAATTATTACTATAGTATAACATATATCCAGGAAAGGTTGAAGATAAAACTGCATATAAAAAAAGATCTATCATCTTTTTGCTAATTTGCCATGCTTGCCAGCCTATAAGGGTTATCACAATTATCAGAAGTCTGATGAATATTTAAGCTAGGGCCAACTGGCTTCAAGTGATCTCAGACGAAGCTGCAAAGTGGATGGCTTCACAGAATAAGAAATTTTGCAGCAGAGAAATTTCAGTTTCCTGGGAGGCATGAACCAGAAATACAGCCTGATAGATAACTGGTACAATACAAAGGTTATTGTTGTATGAGCTTCTTGTCCGAAGTCACCATTTTCAAACCACAGTAAGCTAATGCTTTGCCCATTGTACAACCTGCACTGCAATACACAGTGATTGTGTCAACATGTAACGTATGCACATAACAATTGTGAAGGATTGTTCCACTACCTGCAATTCAGTATTTATTTATTTTTTTTACTTTTTGCACGTGACATAAAACATGATGTTTCTTTAAACTTCATAGTGGGACAAATCCTCCTCTCACTTCAAAAACTGCAAAGTTTCTGGTGCTATTTCACCAAGCAAATATTAAATAGATTTGTGAGTATGCAGGAGGGTTTACACTCATTTATCTCTCAGGTTGTCATGTTTTTTTATTCAGTGAGAAGAGCTGAAGATAGTTTTTGATATCAAATACTAATTTTTTGACAAATGCATTGGCTTTGCACTTGTCCAAACAAATGTACAAGATTTTCAGCTAACTGTAATTCAACAGATGACAGGAAACCTGGCTCAGCAGACAGAGCCAAAGGAGCCAGACTCTGTTTCACTGACACTTGGTGTGAGTACTGGCAAGACCTTTCCCCTCACTTCTCTGTGCTTCTCACCTCACTTCACCCAGATAGTCAGACTATAAGCTCTCCAGACACAGATTCTTCTGTACTACATGCTTTACTTATCATCTACTGCCACTGGGGCTGGTAGACATTACCTTAATACAAATAAGGAATATCTTGTCAGGTGCAAAAACTCCAGGTAAATACAGAATACAGTTGCTAATGCTGGCTTTACAGTACATAACTTGATATACTCCAACAGAAAATAAAAACCTTCTTACGTAAACCTAAATGAATATTGTTCAAAATGTATCAAATTCATCAAAAGCATATATATATTATCATAAGATCACAGTATCCTGAAGTTTCATAAAAAAAGAGGGGCTGAAATTGTGAAATACTTGATACTGTATTTTTCATTTTTTCACAAATTATTGTCAGTCTCAAACAGCAGTCATCAACAAACACTGATATGTTTGTGTTTTGTTTTTAAGAAAATCTTATCTGAATGCAGATAATCATAAGACTACAGTTAAACATAAATGAAAGAATTATGATCCTCATACTGATTACCAACAAAGGTATTAATCTTGAAGCAACTAGTGCACTGCAGTTGGCTTAAATGAACATCTTTACACACTCACAATCAACATGCTTGCAATGAAACATCTTTGCAGTTTATGAACACTTATGAGTAAGATATTCAACAAAATTTCTAAGTGATATTTAACATATTGAAGCATGCTAGCCTCCACTATTTGTGCCTCTTCATTCCCCCCCCCATTCCATCCTTCATACATACAAGTTACATATTTTTCCATACTCCACAACAGATTAGCTCTACCAGCTTCCTTCCTTCTCATCATCTGACTGTTCATCAAAAATACTATCACCAACTGCGGTCTTCACAGTTAGAGGAGAGTCAAAAAAGGTAGTGTTCTGACTTCTGCTCCAAAGGAGGGAACAGCACTTTTCAGAGACAAGCACACAACATGTCTGACTCAACAGGAGTCTCTCAGAGAACGCAAGAAAAGATACAGGCTGTTTTTAACAGAGAGAAAAATGCATATAGTTATTGCGGGTATCTCGCAAGGAGTTCAGGAATAACTGATATTTTCTGAGAGCTGTACAATTCACAAAGAACTCATATTCTGCTTTGGCATCAACAGATTATTTTAAGATGTGTCTCTTGTACCACCCTACGCCGAATGCACAACCCAGACCAGCAACAGCCCTTTTCCCCAGTATACTCTGGGACTGCATTCTGCGTGTAGTGGAACTGACAGTGCAACAAGTATCACCACCCGCTTTTTCAGTCCGCAGAATAAGGTGAATTAAATGTGGCCATCTTCAGTGTTTTTGTGATTTTAAAGTATTCTTGAAAGCAACCATGAAACTAAAGCTGCTTAAGCTTTACACGATCAATTATATTTTTAAACTTAAAAAGCAGACTGTTATTACAATATAGTTTACTGCTTAACTCAGCCAGGTAATAATTTCTGGATATTTAAACAAATGAAGCATCTGTTTACAACTGTACATCCTGATAAAATAAATAACTTTCCTATTAATTAACATTCTTTAGTAGAAATGAATCCAACTGATTACATCAACCAACACACGATGCAGCTGCTTCATTGCTGTATTCACTTGTACTGTCATTTTCATATCACAGTTCAATATCATTCTTTAACTTGCCTTCATCCACAATTAATATGGATATATTTATCAATAATAAAATTTCTGCCCTCTGGAAAAGAACCAATGCTTCATTTGGAACTAATCAACAATTAATTTTTTTGAAAGTCAAAATATTTATTTAAAACAGAGATGAATATTCCAATATGTTATAAAAGAAAACTGCTTACAAATGAAATTTTATTCTTTGCTCCTGATCTGCTCCAAATTTATTTTTAGCACACCACTTCCTTTGTGACAGCTTTAACTTACAGAGATACCTTTGACAAGAAGTACAGCACAAGAATATCAACATTATTTCACAAAATGAAATTTTCTTCTTTGCATAACACCAACAAAAAGAACACTGCACTACTATGTTACTAAAGAAAAGCTAACAGACTCAAAAATGCTGGTTTGTTTTTCATAGGCTGTTACTGCTTACATTTCAAAGAAGCAGCACCACAAGCCATACGCCACAAGACAGCCATACGCCTATCCGAAGAATCAACATTCAATCTTCAAAACCTAGATTTAATAACTTCCAAAGCACATCAAGGGCACATCCATGACGTTTGGTAAATAATTTCGCAACAGAAACCAAGCATTTATTTTAAGCTGCTTCTGCACTATAAGCCATTGTGGGAACAGTCATTGAGACAACAATAAATTAACAAATGGTGTTGGTATATGTTCAGCAAGTTTTTTCTTCTTAGATTTTTATTTCCACCAGCACGGGCAGCAGCCCATGTGAGTGGAAGAAACCGCCTGTTTCAG